GGAGGAAATGAGTAATACCATATGGAAACAACGACTCTTTAGTAATTACAGAGAAATTATTTGATAATTTTTAACACTGAGGAAGGTTTCCTTCTCCAGGGCTGCTTCTGGAGCATTGCTCCCAGCCAAGGGCCTGTTTCGAAGGCAGAGGTGCCCATGTCTGATTTACCTGAGGAGCTGTGCCACCACCATTGCTCCTCTTGGTGCCCACAGGGTCAGGGAGGTCTGTGGCTGTTGCATCAGTCATGGTTTACAGCAGTGCATGGGTGGGGGACAGCTGGAATCTACCTAAGGAAGGATCTTGACTCTTCCCTGCGAGGAGAGTGGTGCTGAGGACACGCCAGGTCCGTGGCTGCAACCCTCAGGGCACCCTCAGCCATGCTGAATTTCTCATGATGGGTTTTTTTTTGGTTTTCTTGTGGCTGCTGGACCATTCTGCTTCTGAACATGCCATGCTCTGGTGCACGGTCAGCCTGACCTACACCCTCCACAGCAAGGTCCCTCCTGGCAGCCCCAGCCCTCTCTTTCAGTCAGTCTGGGTGGACTCTGACATCCAACTCTCTCCATTTCCTCTCTGTTGATTTTCATACATTTCTTTGTGTCTCTTGGGTTCCTGAAAGGCACTTGGGGGTGGCTTTTTAACTGAGGTCTGATTTTTAGGTGGATGGAACGATGGCAGGGAGGTGCATTTCTCTGCAGGAAAGCAGCACTGCCTGGAGCAGAGCGTGTGGGTTTACTTGCAGCAGCAGAAAAGTTGTGAGATGTCCACTCTTATTTCAAGCAGTTCTTCAGGGCTGACTCAGTTCTGCAAAAAGCACCAACAATGGAGCAGTTGCCTGAATGACCTAGGGCACAATAATGCAAAATAACAAGAATGACATCTGCCAACACCCAAACAGTGTCCTGAGATGAATAATGCACCTTTTCCCCCTTATGCTGGAGGTTTGCATCCTCTGTTTCCTTGCTTTCTCAGAAAGCTTCCTATAAACAACCTGGGAGCCCAAATCCAACACCCAAACAGTGGCCTGAGATGAGTAATTCACCTTTTCCCCCTTATTCTGGAGGTTTGCATCCTCTGTTTCTTTGCTTTCTCAGAAAACTTCCTATAAACAACCTGGGAGCCCAAAAGGTCTCTCTGGGAGCCCAAAAGGTCTTTCTGGGAGCCCAAAAGGTCTCTCTGGAAGCTCAGGGTTGACCTGCAAACGAGTGGTGCTTGCTCTTCCAATGCACTGCTGGAGCTGTGGGGCTGTCCAGGCTGTTTGCAGGTTTTTGTGTTGCCTTTTAGTGAGAGGTGTGTGGGTCGGTGCTTTTTTCTTCTCTGCTCTGTTGTGGGTTGGGTTTGCTTACCAATAAATATACTCCAGTAAAAAAAAACAGAATGAAAAACAGCTCTGAAGATGCTCCTGGCAGCACAGCTCAGTCCAGGTCAGCAGAAAAACAAGCTGTGCTGATACAAGCACCTCAGGTTCTGTGGTGGCCGTGGCAGTTGTGCTTTCACCCACAGGATGAAGCGTGGTGAGTGAGAGGAGGAGGAGGAGGAGGCCACCTTCACAAACCAGAGCCTGAAGTTCAGTTTGGGCTGGGTTTGCTGTTTTTTTTTTTAACTCCAGTGTTTACAGGAACAAGGAGTGAGCTGGGACCTGGAGAGAGGTGTGCCAGGATTCTTTGTGAGTGGGAGAGGTGGGGGTGGAGTCATGGTTTTAGCACATTCAGACCTCATGGGTTTTGCAAATCCCCACCTAGTCCAGGCAGAAAAAGGCTCCAGGGAGCAAGTGCTCGATTTCAGGGCTGGAGATCAGCCTGAATTTCAGAGTACTCCTTTCATGCCTCTAGTGCCTTCCCTGGCTGAGGAAGGTGACCCATGGAGGGTAGACCAAGCAATATGTTCATGTCCATACACAGCCCTCTGAGGATGAGCTGTGGAAGGAGGTTTGCTGTGGTCTGGGACTCCTGGGAGCAGTGCCTGTGCTTGCAGAGAGCCCTTCCCTTTTATTTTTCATCTTGTTTTTTTTGCTGCTGAGTTGGGAAAGGGCCTTTCCTCCCCCTTCTGTTTGTAAGGGCTGCAAAGGTTTGCTCCTCAGCTCGTTGTTTGTGCTTCTTGCAAGCTAAACAAGCTGGCTGTGTAGGAATTGGTTCCTGGCCAAGCAGTGGGAGTCGTTAAGGGAAAGGGTGTTTAGTGTTGAGGTTTCTATTTAGTGACGTGAAGGCAACATCAAAGTTGATGAAACCCCAGATTTGCCCCAATATGTTTCTCTTGTGTGTTTGTAAGTGGTCCCTGCTATTGCCTCTCAGTAGTTCACTGAGAAAAAGCTGCTGAAAAGGGACTGATGTGAATCCATTTTGTAGCTGTGGTGGAAGAGGGTTATGGTCCTCCCTTCCCAAGCACTCATCCTTCCATTGGAAGGGAGCTTGGACATAAGGTCCTTTTGTTCCTGTTGCTTTTTTCCTTGTGGGATGCTGGAAGATTTACAGCCCCATCACCTCATTCCTGTTGTCAAGAGCAGCCTTTGGGGAGTATCACTGCTGGGATCTTCTCAGGACTTGTGGCTATGGGTATGTGCCTACCAGAGCTCTCACCCCACTGCTTTACTGCAGATGTTTGCTTAGGTTTTTCCTGCTGTGTCCTGGCTAGCAATCTTGTGCTGGTTTTATTGCCATTAGGCATGCAGTGGGAGCATTATGTGTGGCCTTTGGCAGCTTTGCCTTGTCCCTGAGCTCCATTAAGCTCCATTAGAGGCGTTCGTGCCTACGCCAGCAGCAGTTTGGTGGCACAGTTGAGTGTGGGGCCCTGCAGATGGGGGATGTTTGAGGGGGTGTCCCTCCTGTCAGGTCAGGAACACAAAGCTGGGATTCCTGTTTGCCATCTGTTTCCATGGCCCGTCCCTAACAGACCTCTCCTCCTCCAGAATCCAGGGATCTTTAATCAAAACTGTTTGGCTTGTGGTGAGAGGGAGGAAATCCCAACTTGTGGAGGAGATGTTGACATTTCTTGACCTTTTCTGTGTGTATCTCAGAGACAAACACACTCGAATGAGTGTGTGTGTACTCGTGGTTGTAGGTTTACTCTCTGAGTGGGTTTCCTAACACAGACACTCAGCGAGATGCTGCCTTACATATTTCTCTGCAACCATCAAGATAAACTTGCAAACCCTTTGAGGGGACAGTGTGTCAGCTCAGCTGATCCACAGGCAGCTGTGTACCAAAAAAACTGGCTTACTAAATGTTTCCACGTACAAGAACCCCCATTTCTCTCTGCTTGGAAAATGAAGTGTGGTGGTTTTGAGTGGTTTGGTTCAGAGGGGTGCCTGTGCAGGAGCTCTTACAACATCCTCCTCCACGCTGAAGGGAGCTTTGAGTGTGCAGCCTGTTCTCATGCAGTTGGTGCTGCCCAGAAACCTTCAATAAACTCACTTGGTCATCCCACAGTGGCAGGCGTGTGGCTCATCTTCTCCTCTTTGCTCATGAAAAAGATTACAGCAGTCCCATGCAGAAATGTCTCCTGGAGCATGATGTAAAGCTGAGCAAGACTTTCAGAACCCAGTGACTCTCAGTTTGGGGTGCTCTTGGTGTGGCTTGTGAGATTACTCAAAGAAAGGCTGGCATTTAGAAAGTGGATTTTCAGTGGCTTGTGAAAAATGGAGCTGTAAAACTGGTGCCACATAGGAAATTGGTCTAGGGTGCATATTTGGTACAGATTAAAGCCTGGGGAAACACCAGCTCTTGTGTTTCCATGACACAAACTTGATCAATACATCAGGAATTAGGGCATTAGGGGGGTTGATGACACTTAAAATATGAAGATTATATTGAAAGAGCACACAAGGTGAGGAAACCTTTTTCCCCTTGGGATGAGCTGTCTCTCTTTCAC